ATGCAGATCGTGCGACACATGGTTGTCATTCTCACYGCCTCCAAAGTATGRCCCATATACCAAGCTCCAAAATACTAACCTGCATAAAACACAGACACAYACAATAKCCACRTTGCCATACACCAATGTGGTCAATTTTACTGTTCCCTGTAACTYATACCACRCCTCACACACTCGAGCCCCAGTCATAATCCAATCTTCCATAAATCTCACAAGTTCTCTATAATGGCCATTAAAAGAAGTCCAGTTAAAACCATCAAAGAAACATATCAAATCTCAGGGCTAAGGCAATCAGGTTGAGGTACAGGTGTGAGCAAAGTTGTGTCGTGAGCCGAAAAGTCGGCGATCAACCAACCGACTTGTTATGAGTGTTGGTTGATCGCCGACTTGTCGGCTCACGACACAACTTTGCTTACACCTGTACCTCAACTTGATTGCCTTAGCCCTGAGATTTGATGTGTTTCTTTGATGGTTTTAACTGGACTTCTTTTAATGGCCATTATAGAGAACTTGTGAGATTTATGGAAGATTGGATTATGATTGGGGCTCGAGTGTGTGAGGCGTGGTATGAGTTACAGGGAACAGTAAAATTGACCACATTGGTGTATGGCAATATGGCTATTGTGTGTGTCTGTGTTTTATGCAGGTTAGTATTTTGGAGCTTGGTATACGGGCCATACTTTGGAGGCAGTGAGAATGACAACCATGTGTCGCACGATCTGCATACCTGATGGGTTTATGTTTCCCCTTCTTTTACTTTATCTCGAAATGTGATTTGGTATATGAGTGTGGGATGTTTATTTATTTTACTGATTGATTTTGCTTATTAATTTTGATAGTTGGATGTTGTAGTCCGTGACAGCCGTCAAAGTCAAACCCCTTGACTTTTGTCCAGGCCTGGAGTGGGGCTCATCTCCAGGGTAGTAAGAAACGACTGCCACCACAGGTATGGACCTGTGTACCACCCACTCTGCATAGGGTGCAGAAGAGGGTGTGTGGTGCTCAACTGCGCATGGCGGTTGTCCAGCGTGGACAGATTAACCCTCAAGGCGCGTGTCAGCCGACACTTGAGTGTCGAATGCGGCCCTCGAGACTAGCGAGGACCTCGTGAGTATGGGTACTACATAGTACGCCATCATTGCGACCGCTTGTGTGCGCTTGCATTGCAAGTCGATATGAGTTAGCCCTGCGTCCGCGCGGTTTTATACTAAGTCTCGCGCGCGACGCCTATCCGATTTCCGCATCGAAAAGTTATGGGACGGCTACTGAAGGGACTAGGAGTGTTGTCGCGTTGTATCGTTTCGTATATGAGTGTGTGTGTGTTTTATTTTTGTGTTCGTAAAGTGGTGTGCACGTGGTGAGTGGGATACGTCCTAGTCGACCGACGACGAGTCGCGCTTGGGACCAAAACCCCCCAAGATGTCGGTTCGCGTGCGGGTCCGATAGGCGTATTACCGCGCGTACCCCCTATGCTACAGCGAACGAGAAACGCCCTCGGCTGGTCCACCTCTGTGATTGCAACCGAGTAGCTTTCGTACTGTGGACTGGTAGCTCGGCGGGGATACGCCCACCGAAGGGAGGTGACAGCTCCCGTAAGGTGGAGGTAAGTTGTGCCTCGCGTAGGCCCTATCCTGTCATAGGGGCTCGCGAGAGGTATGGCTG